CTGCAATTCCTAGGAGATGCCATTCAGACCTTCCCACTCTGTCGCCTGTATTTCTCCACCTCTTGTTCATATTTCCATCTCCCTTTGTACTACCTCCTGGGTAATCTCCTCAGCTTTAGCAGTTCAGTCTCTTGTTTATTCAGTCCATCAATTAAAACCTTCCTTTGTGGCTTTTTAGAATTTGTAAGTTTATTTTTATACCTAAAACATTTTACAGATGATTATAAGCGCAAGCATATGTAAGAAAAAAAATCTGACAATGTCAGTCATACAGTTGATTAAAGCAATGCTTAGAGGAATCATGAGCAAAATTCACCCCTAAACATGGATTTCTGAGTAACTGTTTTTCCTCAGACTCATTTTCTGCTCATTTCTTTCAACATTTACTATGATGCTTGTTTTCATCTATAGGAGTCCAGTACTGCCTTTTTTATTGACGTAAAACTGACTTACAATGTTTCAGATGTACAGCAAAGTGATTCAGTTTTATATATATATGTGTATATATGTATACATATATTCTTTTTCAGATTCTCTTCTATTATAGGTTATTATAAAACACTGAATACAGTTCCTTGTGCTATTCAATAGGTCCTTATCTATTTTTATATAGTACTGTCTGTTAACCCCCAATTTTTATATATATATATATATAATTTTTTTTAAATTGAAGCATAGTCAGTTTACAATGTTGTGTCAATCTCTGGTGTACAGCACCATGCTTCAGTCATACATGAACACACACACAGTCATTTTCATATTCTTTTTCACTATAAGTTACTACAAGATACTGAATGTAGTTCACTGTGCTGTACGGTAGAAACTTGTTTATTGCTGTGATTCTTAAACTTTCCCTCAATTTGGAAAAATTCAGCCATTTGTTCTTTTCAAAAATTTCTTTCTTCCTAATTGTCTCTCTCCTGTCATTCTGGGAGTGTAGTTATGTAAGTTTGGCTGCTTGATGTTGTCCCACAGATCAATGAGACTCTGATTACTTTTTCAATCTTTTTTTTTTTTTCTCTCTGTTCCTCATTTTGGATGTCTGCTGCCCTATTTCAGGGCCAGGGAAACTGCAGACCACCCCAGATTGAATCTGTTTATCCCCACTGATTACTAGAACTCCTTTCACACTAAAATGGCAGAGATGAGTATTTGTAACTGAGACCTTTGACTTTCAAAGCCAAAGGTATTTACTATTGATTCTTTAAGGAAAGGTTTCCTAACCCCTGCTCTTTTTCAAGGTTGATGATTCTTTAGTCTGTCATCTTCAGTGTGCTGTTAATCCCATCTATTACATTTACTTCAGGTACGTAATTTTTATTTATCTTTTTGTTACTATTTCTCTGCTGACAACTATCGTGCATTTAGTATAAGCGTATTTTCCTTTATATTCTTGGGCATGTTTATAGTGGTTCATTTAAAAATCCTGACTGTTAATTCTAACATCTAGGTCATCTCAGTTTCCATTAATTGCTTTTTCTCCTGAGTATGGATCACATTCACTGGTGTTTTCCTATGTGTAATAATTCTGAATTACATCCTGGATATTGCTGTGGTAGGAATTCTGCTGAATTAATATTTTTAAAGGAGGCAGTTAACTTGGCTGAACTCAGACTTTAAAACTCTGTCCCCTGTGGTGGGCAGCAGCAAGTAGTATTTCTCTCTAGTTCTTTTAGCTGGTTGCTCGGCGTCTGCTTCACAAGGGTGTCTTTAGGGATCACGGAGTTGGGTGGACTTTGCACACAGAATGTGGGGCTCCGTTGCTCGTTTCTGGGATTTACTCCTTTACTTGTTAGGTGCTGGGTTAGGGTCATTTTGAACCCTTTCCTTTGCTTACTGAAGCCGGTAAGATCGCAAGTTTCTATACAAGTTTTAACTACCCCACATTGGTGTCTGTCGGGGCCTGTCCTCAAGCAAAAAGCCATAAAAATGGAAACTTACCCAGAGCCACTTTAGCTCCCGTCCTGTTTCTCCTGAGCTCGGCTGCCCCTCACTGCCTTGGAGTAGCTGCTTTCTGTATTTTGTTGAGAATTTATACTTGTCGCTTGCGGGAGGGCTGGATGAATAGGAGTTCTTTCCTCCACTGTTAGCAGAAGCAGAATCTTATCCATCTCTTTTCCAAAGATACTTCATCTACATTTTAAGGTCACTGTAGCAGGAGGATTGATGTGAATCAGTCTGCCATTACTGGAGATCAGAACAGCAGCTGAGAGTTGTTCTCATTTATCTTATGGTTTGTTGTTTTAATGACAGTAATGGGGGGTTCCTAATTTTCACACTGAAACCTGGCTGGTTTGGCTGCTAGGAGGTGTGCACACTGGCCCCCGTGAGGCGGCACCTCTCAGTGAGGAGCAGTCCATGTTGCTGCAGCATTACTGGGCGCGCCCCTCTGGATGGCAGCTGGGTCAGCACAGGGCTCAGGCAGCCGAACTCCAGCTCTTCCCTGCCTCCGAATAGGGTCAGTGGTCCCGCACTTCAACTGTGTTTGCAGTCCTTCCCTGTTTACAGAAACTTCCCTGCTTTTGTTGAAGCCAAACAAAACCCGGGTGTGACTCCCTTTTGATAATGAGCTCAGGCTCTGGAGGCAGAAAGACCTGGGACGAATTGGTTGGCCTTGAAACTTGTTTCCTGGTCTATAAAATGGGTAATAAAATCTGCCCTGCCTATATCGTATCATGAGATTTTATTAAAAGTCTGAGATGGCTGACCACCATTCTGGCCCCCAGTGTGGGATGTACACTGGATTTGGGAAGACCAGGGCAGAGCTTGTAACAATCAACGGGCCGTGGCTGGGTTGAAAGTGTTTTGGAGCTGGGAGTAGGCCATCGAGCTGTCAGAGTGTTTATAAAGACTTCCCTGTATTTCCTGAGGGTGGGGGCTATCTGAAACTCTATGATGGGGAGGAAGTACAGCGGGTAAGCGCACAGTCGGCCAGTGTTTAGAGCTTACTCTGCCACTGACCAGCCAGTGATCTGGGGGCTTGGCGAGTTCCTCTGTAAAACTGGGGACAGTGGTAGCACCCACCTTGGAGGGCTCCTGTGGGCTGTCGCTGATGTTGGGGATGTGGCTCTCATTTGCAGGGGAGGGGCTCTCTCCATCAAACTTCCCTGTGCTTGACTCGACCCCCTGTCCCAGCCCTGGGAGCTCTCTTTGAGTCGTAGTTCTGTTCCTTCTCTTTGTCTCACGTCCTCCTCAAATGTGCTAAGCCTGGCAGTTGTGTCCTCAAACAAATTACCAAGAGAAATGTTGGGCAGGGCGAGGCTGAGGACAAAGGCTAGGGCCATCCCTTTGCTCATTGGGATAAAAGAGTCATTCAGCTCATTGTTAATCTACTTCATTCATGATAGCTTGCTGCCTTGATTTCCCCACCTTGACCCAGAGGATGGAGAATCTTTCAAATGCTTTGTTGAAGTCTACACCTAGACCTAGTCTGGTTCCTGCCCCTCTCCTATCTTGTGGATTGACTTGAGTCGAGGCTTAAAATGGCACTGCTTTTTATTTGAAAACAGGCTGAGAGTTTGGCCCACGGAGTCATTTAAAAAATATATATATATATTTTTAATTGGAGTGTATATAGTCAGTTTACAATGTGTCAACTTTTGGTGTACAGCACAATGCTTCAGTCATACAGGAACATACATATAATCATTTTCATATTCTTTTTCACTGTAAGTTACTGCAAGATTTTGAATATAGTTCCCTGTGCTATACAGCATGAACTTGTTGTTTCTCTATTTTATATATAGTAGTTAGTATCTGCAAATCTCAAACTCCTTTCTAATTTATCCCTTCCCACCCCTTCCCTCCCCAGTAACCATAAGTTTGTTTTCTATGTCTGTGAGTCTGTTTCTGTTTTGTAAGTAAGTTTGTGTCTTTTTTATTTTATTTTTTTTTAAGATTTCACATATGAGTGATCTCTCTCTGACTTACTTCACTTAGAATGACATTCTCCAGGTCCATCCATGTTGCTGCAAATGGCATTATTTTATTCCTCTTTAGGTTGAGTAGTAGTCCATTGTATAAATATCCAGTCATCTGTCAGTGGACATTTAGGTTGTTTCCATGTGGGGTGCATGTATCTTTTTGAATTAAGGTTCCCTCTGGATATATGCCCAGGAGTGGGATTGCAGGACCACAGGGTAAGTCTGTTTTCAGTCTTTTGAGGAATCTCCATACTGTTATCCACAATGGCTGCACCAAACTGCATTCCCACCAGCAGTGTGGCAGGGTTCCCTTTTCTCCACAGCCTCTCCAGCATTTGTCATTTGTGGACTTTTGAATGATGGCTGTTCTGACTGGTGTGAGGTGATACCTCATTGTAGCTTTGATTTGCATTTCTCTGATAATTAGTGATATTGAGCATTTTTCACGTGCATATTGGCCATTTGTATGTCTTCATTGGAGAATGGCTTGTTTAGGTCTTCTGCCCATTTTTGGACTGGGTTGTTTGTTTTTTTTTCTTAAGTTGTATGGGCTGTTTATGTATTCTGGAAATGAAGCCTTTGTCAGTTGCATCATTTGCAAATATTTTCTCCCATTCCATAGGCTGTCGTTTTGCTTATGGTTTCCTTTGCTGGGCAAAAGCTTGTAAGTTTAATTAGGTCCCATTTGTTTATTTTTGCTTTTATTTCTATTGCCTGGGTAGCCTGCCCTAGGAGAACACTGCTGAGATTTATGTCAGGTAACATTTTGCCTATGTTTTCTTCTAAGAGGTTTATAGTGTCTTGTCTTATGTTTAAGCCTTTAAGCAATTTTCAAGTTTATTTCTGTGTATGGTGTGCGGGAGTAGCCATTGAGTCTTCTGTTGCAAGAGTGTTCAAGAAAAGCTTTCAGATTTGAGAACACAGGTTCACAATGACTGAGAGGGTAGTTTTACAGTGTAGCAGTTACCCTTTCCCTCAGAACAAGCATCAGCTATATAGTACAATAAAGTAAGAAAGTGCATATATGTTTAAATGAATATTTTAATTGTATTTTAACTCCACGAAGACTGGTAAATTGTCTGTGGAGAACATGAAAACTCAACAATCCTGAACAGTGCCTAAAATTCATTTGATACTTTAAATAAGGCATCTTTATTCCCATTCCAGATTAAGAAACTAAGGCTCAGAGGGGCTCTAAGGCAAGGTCACATGGGACTGTGAGAGGGCTATGTGCTGGCAGGTTTCCCCTCACTGCTAAGAACATCTTGTATGTTGCTCAAGCCTTTAAATACCACTTCTGTGCCTTCATCCAAATTTTTTAGCTTTAGTTACTCCACTGGCTAGAACAGAACTCTTATCTTTTCCTTATCTCAGTTGTAGCAATTAACGGTTGAGGTCAAAAGCCAGAGTCACCTTCTGGTCCCCACCTTCTGCATCTGATGTGGTAGCAAGTTCTGGCACTCAGCATCCTGAGGCTGGAATGCGGGCCAGGGGCCACCTTGTTGTCCTCTGCACACCCACTTCCTGCCTGTCTTCCATTCCTCACGAGGCCAAAATCTGTGGCACAACACCTGGCCCAGCTCGCGACTCCTAGTCTCAAGTCGGGCTTCCTCTCCCTCACTGGCTGCCACTCCTCTGTCTTCTTTAGGGCAAGTGAGAGCCCAGGACTCAGTGGGGACTGAGCGAGCTCAGAGGCTGCCCTATTTCAGGACCCCCGCAGGGCCTCTGTTTGCCTGTGAACCAGTGGTACAGGAGCATAAAGCAATCTCACTTCCCTGATGAGGAATAGTTTGCTGATTCACTCTTTACTGAGAGTAACTTTAACCTAGAGGCTATGCTCCACGAAGGAGAGAGTTCCTCCTGAAGATTCACTGAGGTTAAGAGGAATACAGCACCCTGTAAAACGCCCTGATTGTTATCACCTTTTCTGTTCCATCCAATTTTTCTATAAAACCTCAGGACCCCAAGCCCAAGATGGGCTCAGTCTTTAAGGCAGCAGCCTGCTGTGACTCCCTTCGCCGGGTAAAGCAAGAACGCCGCTATTTTCTTTGCTCCCAAAACTCTGCCTCTTAAGTTTGAATTCGCTTTTCCGGGTACAGACTGATTTTTCAGTAACAAACCTTGGGCCCCCCTTCTTTTCTAAGAAGGGCATTTCTGCCTGAGCCCCCAGGGTCTGCCGCGCCGGAGTGGGGAAACGGGAACAGGACAGATCAAGCCCCAGCAGCCGCTGGAATCTCCTTGCTCTGGGGACTTCTTCCTTCTGCTTTCTGGCCCCAGCCTGGACCTTTGACTCTGACGCATCTTTGGGAGAGAAAAGACCACTGTTAGGACTACAGCAACTCCTCGGCCGAGACTAGGGGAAGTTTCCCAGCGACGACTGAGGCCCCTCGACCGTATCTGGGGATTCACCTGGCAGGCTGAAAAATCCCCATCTGTTGGGAGTCGCCTTCTTTGAAAGCGACTCCTGATTGAATAGGTGCCAACTGGATAGGAGGTCATGGGCTTAGAGAACTTGGAAGCCCCTTGGAATCTGTACTTATGTTTTGAATTCCTGCTGGCATTTGTCTTCTGTAATCGGTTATTGTAAAGCCTGCCTCCGTGATCTGAAATTTCGGTCTAGTGCTTCCACCAACCAGTAAGTTTTGAATTTATACGAGCCCTTTGAAGTTTTCTGTGTGCAGATGTGTGCATAAATTGACAAAATGGGTGGTACCGTTTCAATTCTATCAGACAGTCCCTTGGATCTGTTTGTGTTTTTGTGTGTATGGCCATGTGAGCTTTGAATCTTTTGTCTCATGTTTTGTGATTACCCTTCTGTCTTGTAAAATGGGAATTTCTGGTTCTGTTCCACCACAGAGCCCTTTTGGCTGAAGTCTGTCTGACTGGAAAGATTTTAGTTGTACAATCACTTAGGAGAATGGCCTTTGAATGGTTCATTGCTTATACATGCTTGTAAGTACTGAATGGCCAAGTTGGGGTTCTTTTGACACCCCAAAACTAAATTTTGAGCACTCAGTTAAAACTAGCAGTCTTCTATGCTTGCAGTTTACTGGAAACAACAGTGGTGTTTTTCTTTTATTCTAAAATTAGATTAGCATGGAAAAATATTTGTAAGGCTAACTCCATGGAGCCTTTGAACTGGAGAAGCATCCAAACTGTTAATTTTAGAGAGCTCTTAAACTACCGCCCCTAACGTAACTGGCACACGGAAGTCCCCGGAGGCCTCAAGCCCAGCGTAGCCTCCTGGAAGGCCTGCGGTGGGAGGCTGCTAGAAGCCATGCTGTATGAGGTGCCTGAAATTTTGAACACTGCTCCCCTCTACCCTTTCAGTACTCATTCTAGTACTCTTCTGAACTGCCTTTCTACTCAGAAGGCACTATTACATGGGAGCATGCGAGGTTATAGGCAAGCCGTTTCACGTCAAAGGCTTGTACTGAGGGCCACAGTTAAGAGAACTCTTTAGACCCAGGGAGGATCCTCAAAAGAGTCTGTACGTGGATTACCACAATGAGAGGGCACTGGTCTGACTAAGCTGACCGCGGCTGATACTGAGAGCCTGACAGGAATTTGGGGGGAGGGGAAGTAAAACTGTCCAACATGCTGGAATAGGTGTGTCAGTCCTTTGATATTAAGGACCACCCAATTTTTTGAGGGAAAAGAAAAATAAACAGAAAAACCTCCCCTACTTAAGACACTTTTAAGTACTGAGGGAAAATAAAGCCTTTTTTCTGGCCTCAAGGGAAAGAAGTCATCCAGGAAGAATGTACCTTTCTATGCCTTTGAAATGCAAATATTCTACCTGGTCTTCTCCCTGTCTCTGCCATCCTTTTAAAATGCAAATTTTGAGAAAGTGGGTAGGTAATTTGGAACTTGGCTTGTCGAGGATAAATAGAAATCTTAAATGTCTTCCATAGAAATTAGTAAAAAATGTTTAGCCATCTAGACAGGCAACTTTGATTTGTTCCATCTGCCAGAAACCCAATTTGAATCCAAACTCTTCTAACTGATGGGTTAGATGTTGGGTTTTATGTTATGTACCCAATCCGTGGCTCGCATTTTGGAATGAGAACTATGAGGTCTCTGTGCTTTGTGTGTCACAGACGCATGGTATTGACAAAACTGATTTGTAAAAGAGCTCTATTTAATTGACTTAAAGAAAATTAAATGCTTATATAAATAATCAGAAATATAAAAGAAACTGGCTACTGCAGAGGCCCTTTGTAAGAGTCAGTTCGTTCAATTTCACTGTGCATAATAAGCTAGTTAAGGAAGAGTACCTGACAAAGCTCCTTCCATCTAGGCTGGAGACAGTCCTTAAATTGTGTCTCTTCCAGTATGCATAATCTTCTGGTTGCAGGTCCTGGGGCATCGGATCTTTATCCAAAGATATTTATGAGATAAGCTTCAGAAACAAACTTAGAGTGTCCTTTTAATAGTTCTGTAACAAAACAGCAAAGAACTACCTGGGAAATGAGTCTTAGGCCATAAATGCAGACCTCCATTAACAAAACTAGAATTTAATATTCACTGAAATATAATTTTTCCTCTCTAAAGTTACCCTCATTTTTATCAAATGTAGCCAAATCAAGCTTAATCTGTCTGCAAATTAAGTCTGATTATGTGATCGTCTAGGCTCTTTTAAATTGGCTGTGCCACAACTTTTCATAAGGTGTCTCAGGCTGAAATTTTTAATACGGTCTCCTAGGGCCAGGAAAGCCATGTCAAGGGCTTGTCACAGATTTTGCCTTACAGACTTAGGTACATTCTTCTCTTTTCAAGGTCCCCCAAAATACCTTGAGATTCCTATACCTGTTAGGAGGTGGTCTTCCTAACTTATCTGATAAAGCCACTAGGAACCTAAGAGAGAAAAGATAACCATTCCAAGTTGGCTTACATAGGTATAATTTACCAAATTGCTGTGGATCATAATTAGCTTAAGGAGAAGGTTTTTTTTTAAAGTATCTGGAAAACAGAGATTAAAACCAGTTTAAAAAAAAAAGCCAGTAATATTTCAGGCAGGAATCATAAAAATTACAACCATTATTTACCAGTTCACTCAGTCCTATGTAACTAATCCTTTTTCTTAACAGTTTTATGAACCCATCAGGTTTCTATTAGAATTCTTTAATTTCTTACTCAGCTCAACATTATGGTCTGAAAGTTAACACAAATTTGTACTTATTAAAGAAGTCTTTTCTATAAACATTCTTGAAGAGGAGGCATTTTGCAAAGGCATCAGAGTAAACCATATCTATGAATGATAAAAAAACTTAAGGCACAGTTAAAAAACCTTATTAAAATGCAACTGTGACAAACTTGGGTACTGCTGTGACATACAGTATTTTAAGATAAAAGCTAGAACTATGATTGATAGCATTTTGCCAGCATATATCAGATGTCTTTTTAAAGAATTCCATAATTTTTAGAATATATATATTAATAACATTTTTCCTAATATAACTTAAGAAGATTACTTATTTGACAATACCTCCCATGCAATTTAACATACCAAATGAACCGAATTAGTTTAATATCTCTTTTGGGGATGTTTCAGGGGCCCCTTGAAGCACCCCAAAGTTAGCCAGAGGTCAAAGAAACTTCATTAAAATTTGATATGAGAAATTTGTTTAAAAAAATATATCAAAAGGGTTTTAAAACACTTGGTCAGATAGGCTCATAGATCATTGTGAAACAATACTTATTCCCTTAGCCAAAGTGATAAACATTTCAAAGGCAAATATGGAAAGTTATAACAGGTTTATGATT